CCCCCCCGGTCCCCCCATGTCAAAAAAAGCCCGGTCTAGGTAGGGTTAACTCAGTTCTGCATGGCACTGCCAACATGATGTAACCCAACACCAGTTACTATGGTGACAGACGTCTGGTCCTGGTCATTGACCTTATCATTTGTAGACTCACCTGTAGTGCAAACTTTATTAGATTCACGTTTAACTCAGTTCTGCATGGCACTTGCAACATGATGTAACCCAACACCAGTTACTATGGTGACAGACGTCTGGTCCTGGTCATTGACCTTATCATTTTTTTCGAACGGTAGAAGAAGAAGAGTAAGAAACTGAGCAAAAACAAGTCTTTCGGTAAACATAAAAAACGTTCTATGTTTTTTTATGTATTGCTTTCTATGTTGGTGGCGGCAAGAAAATAAGTTGTAGTACCATAACAAGCCTCCGGGGGGGCTAAAATTTAATCATTTCAACGTCTCATCAACACCTACCCACCTACCAAGTTTCATGACAATTCACCAACGCTTCTTGAGTTATCTTGCTAAACCACATACACACACGCACACACACACACACACACGCACACACAAACACGCACACACACACACACATACACACAAACGCTACAGAAAACATAACCTTCTTAGCAAAGGTAATAACCTTCATCAGCTTCTCAGAAGTTCCTCCGCCCTCCTCTTGGGCGCCCCACCCTGTGACGGTCCCGATGTTTCCCGAGCGGATCAGTCGTCGGGCCTCGGGGATTTCCGGAAGGCAGATCGGCAGGATGTACTCGGTAAACGTCACTTCCGGTGGGGCCAGTCGGAGAAGGGCGACGTCAGAGTCGTAGGTGTCTCCGTTGAAGTCAGGATGGACGATGATTTCTTCAACAATGTATGACCTGTGAGAGGTGTACGATGTGTATTATCATTGTAGCTATCTAAGGCAAATATAGACTTTGACAGAAGCTTTGGTTATTTCTAGCTAAAGCAATTTGTTATCGTTTAAAAAAGTTGATTGCAAATACATATACCCGAGGGCTAATTGCAAGTGAAAACAACATGTATGAAAAAAAAAGAAAATACAGGTACAATGGTATGCCAGACTACGTCTAAAACATTATACTACATTCTTCAACATACATGGTACTAGTTTTACTGCGTTCGTCTTTACGTAGAAGCCAAACAAATAGGTATTTAAGTATTTTGTGAAGGATCACTACGCGCCAATATTCACTCTTTATGCAATGTCTGGTAAGTTATAAAAGACATCATTTGCTACATCATGTCATGCACTTCAATAATAAAAAGTCAAGTTTTCCATGTGCCAGCACCCGTTGAGCCATACAATGCCCTAAAATACACATGGAATATTGAAAAGCTTTCAACTTAATCATAGTGCTACAAGCAAGCCCCTGCACTGGAGATGCCTCCAAAATACTAACCGGGCTACCGTGGTTGGGGCAGACTGTCTTCGGGGCCATAATAGTTTTCCCCCGTCCAGCTCAACAGACCACCCGGTGGGAGTACTACGCCTGTAGGAGCTTTGCTAATAGAGTTTTGTACACCAAAGAGAACCCACCCTAACCGCGATAGACTTGACACAAGGCTACCAAACATTTTCCCAGCATACCTCTCGTTTGCTTCGAGCACCCCCCGTACGGAGGTGTGTTTTCCCAGGCGAACGATGAAGTCCTGTTCGGTTAGGCCAAGTTCCCGGATGCAGTGGGCTGCAGTGATCACCCAACGCTTGTTGATAAGGCTTCCTGAACAGAAAAACCTGAAAATAAGATTTTTTAAAGCAGTTAACTAATAATGAAAAAAGCAAAATTGCTTGACTTCAGAATGTTGCAACTAAAGTGTTTGAGAACATTGTCTAATGTTCAACATAGTAGAAAATTGAAAAAAGAAATACTAATGAACTGATTGTCTAATGTTGAGCACTGTACCTGTTCCTTGTCGGCCGGATGTCCCAGAGCATGGCTTGCCACGGGAAGGCACCCTGCTCCACCTCCGTCCCACCCGTGATGAACCCGTCCGGGCCGGTGGCATGGAAAGGGCGGCCGCAAACTTAGGAGAGAAAAAGAAGCAACAAAATTTAATTGGGGTCGTAAAAATGTACCAACATTTTGGCGACGCCTCACGGGCGAGCCCAATGGTACAGTATTGTGTGCAGTCTGCAAGAATTCTAGGGATTGTACAGGAATTTTGTCCACAGGCATGGGATGCCCACAAAAGGATGTCTCACAGCTCTGGAATTTTGCTGACACCCATCTGTACCCACAGTCCTACTGTGATTAAAAGGGAGCACTCATGTTTTTTTGGACATATTTACAGAGAAAAATACGTACAGGTGACGAGGAAAAGGCTAATCATTTCTGACGCAATGCACTTTTTGCACAAGTTTGTCTGAAACCCACCAACATGGCGGACACTATCTACGCGTCATGATCACGTGACTACAAAGCACGACGCAAAGCACGATGGGTATACCTCCGTCAATGTCGACATCAACAACCAGGGTAGCCTTGGCCTCTACGGTGTGCCCGTCCCTGTCCCTCCCGGCCGTGCACGTGTACCGGCCGGTGTCCGTCAGGGTTACGGAGGTCAGCACCAGGTCTCCCCGGTTCTGGAGGACGCGTTCCCCGTCGATGAACGAGCCCGGCGCCTGGCCGTCTTTGCTCCACGTGATCCGGTCCGCTCCGGCCGCGCTGCATCTGAACACGTGACTGTCCCCGAACTGGACGGTAGCGTCGACCGGAGCCTCAACGAACTTCATCTCTGTAAAATAATATACTTACATATTGGGTAACCGCGACGGGGGCCGACATTGTCTACAAGATACCTTTGATCCAGTATTGACGTCACACTTCAAAGAAGCCACGTGACAAGCCTCATTGGGTCAGTCTACTGAGGAAGACCATAGTACTAGTAATTGGTCGAAAGCTCTAGATAAGAGAACTTTATTGTGTTGGATCCAAAGTTTTAACTTACTAGTAACTTTAAACATACTTACATATTATTATTAAAGTGAGCCATCATGATTATATATCACTTCAAAAATGCGAACTTACCAGATCGTATTGTTATCCAGGCGTCAGCCGATATCCTTGCATTTCCCCGTTTTAGTTCGCAGGTATATCTATCAGCATTGTCCCTGTTTGCGATGACCAGCAGGTCGTTGTTGAAGAGGACAAATATCGTCCGAGTGAAGGGCGGGGTCAGCGCTTTCCCGCCTTTGTACCACGTGACAGTCAGGTCGCTCTGCTCATGCGCAGCGCAGTGAAGGATGACAGTATCGCCCAGCGCGGCGGTTTGGTTCGACGGCCTCGTTCTGAACGATACTGCAGATCAAGAAATTGTTTTATTGAAAGAAGTCTAATGTTAACGTTTTGTGCTTATTCTAATAACAGTAGCCGTCAACCTATGGGCGGTTAAGAACCCTGCATACTTATCGAAAACAGTAGCGGTGAAAATGCGTGGCGAGGCCGCGTAGCAATAATACATGTACAAAGCACTTTTAAACCAAGCCTTAGACTACGAGAAGGCTCCGCTCATGAGGCGTCGCCAAAAATATTACGCTTCGCCTGAGGACGAACTTATCGAAAAGAGAAGCGGTGAAAATGCGTGGCAAGGCCGCTTAGCAATAATACAAATACAGGTAGTTATCAAAAGCACTTGCAGAAAGGCTACAAGAAGGCTCCGCTCTTGAGGCGTCGCCAAAAAGTGTTGCGCTTCGCAGAGACAGAATTCAGAAGGCTGTCAGCATTATGATTTCCTATCGAATGAAAACTCTCAGAAATTGTGATGTTTCAGAACTTCAGAACAAATTTTACAAAGGACTCTTCAATTTTAAGTACAATTCATCAATCTAAAAGGCTTGTCTACTACTCTCCAAGCAGAGGTTGTTGGGGAATGATCGTTAGCTTTTTATATATGGCCGGGTTTTTTTGTCGGCCATCTCTGGCTAATGGATACTGCCCGGCCAATTTGATACTGTCTTTTCGCCATTGAAAGGGATCTGCTTGGAGATTACTCGAATACCATTCTGCTCGACAAGAAAAAATAGTAAACTGTACACTGTGAATGATGTGTCTTACCGATAGCATCTCTTTTCCATCGCCTGTGCCGCACTGCGCCTTCCTGAAGGTCTTGGTTACTATAAACAAGAACAAAGACCGACAGGAAATCGGTGAGTGAATGCATAATAAGCAGTGAACGAATGTCTGTCTATACATAAACATAACTGACGCCTGTTGTCATTTATACTGGCATGAAAAGACATTCGCATCAACGTATTTTTATTTAATTTTAATTCGATTGTAACTATACAATACACTGGCCACCCAGGCAGCATAGCTGATTTCGGGCGCCAAACAATACAAAGATTAAACATACACAATATAACATACTAATACAGTAAACTAACAAGTAATTCATGATCGAGCCCCCCCCCCCGCATCAACGATTGGGGGTGGGGTCATGACGTCATGTTTTCCATGTAAATGAAGATATGTCACTTTTTAAATAAAAGCAGTTTAATCCCAAAAATTGCCATTAACGATGAAACTAATAATGTCAGTTTTTTATGTTAATCCTACAGAGTTTTAATTAGTGAACATACGACTAAGGAGCTGTAACATGGTCGAAGATCCCACCGTTGACAAAAAGCAATTCTTAGAAATGAACCAAACTTCGGAAGCTGTTTTAAAGCCCCACATGTGGCGGATACAAAACCCCGAAAACTAGAACTGTATGTCCTTTGGCCAGGCGCCAATTTTGATCAAGACACGCTGTAGCTTTCTTTAAATTTATCCAACGAGTTTGACTACAACTTAAGGACTTGTAGCTAGGCGTTTTATATCGAGAGTTTACCGTTTCTAAACATACCGTGCCAAATTAATTGATTACTATCTCTAGAAATGCAATAACTACATTGTCTGAATTGCATTTTAGCTCTGACTGAAACTTGTCATTTCAATTAAGTACTTTCTGCCATTAAAGCATTTCAAACAATGTCAAACTTGTGTCAATAAGAAATGAATACATACCTGGGGTATCCGTATATAGAGGTAAGTTGGATGATACAAAGCAGCACAATTATTGCTGTTGACATCAGCATAGTCATCCTGACAATTCTAAATTTGATAAATTTGAATATTTTTCTAGAAAAGAGTTAAAGTTGCTCTGCTGCTCTATACACGTGTGTTCACGTCGTTCGTTGCTGCAGTTATACACGATGGCACGATATAGAACAGGAAATATAAGAACAAGTCAGCGAGAAAGAAACTAAGCGGAAGTGACCACCCTCGCGTTTTAAATACCGAGAGTGGTGAAGTCCACCGGAAGTCGCAAGACAGGATATGACGTCATATGACGTGCCAGACATGACATGTCGCTTTGCACGTATCGCATCAGAATTTCCCTCAATAAAGTATGGACCAAATTTGGCTTCATATTGACATACAATAATCCCTACATTGTAAATATAGAACAGTACATATTATGTACTACATAATAACTAGCCTCTACCAGGCTTCGGGAGGCGTCTGAAAAGAGTAGAAATCGGCTAGATAGAGAGATAAAGCGGCAAACTATCTCTCTATTTGGCCGATTTTTACTCTTTTTAACTGCTGAAGCGTTTAGTTCAATAATTCCACCTAAATCGCACAGTCAAGTAGTCTCACTCCATCCAATAAGTCTCTTGTAGTAAGAATAGAAGTTTCCTAGAATTTGATATACTATATATAAAATTCAACACTGTTGATCAACAAGAAAATTATCTGTGGATTACCGAAATGCCATGTGTAGTTTCTTACATTTTGTTTTCTTGTTTTTCTGTCTTTAAAAAATAGCTCACATTATATGCTAAGCTTGGTCTACTGCTTAGTAGTTCTACACTCCAAAATGAACGAAATATTCCAAACAAAATCGGTGTCCATGTCCTATGTCCAATGCCCAATTTATTTCACCGTTTGAACTCTCAGTGACGAACCAATCAGTGGTTTCAGTTAGTAAACAGATTGGTCAAACTTTGTCCTTTGTGTTGGTTGAAGTAATTAGATTTGCCTTTTATTGCGCAGCGTCAATACTTGTAGTGCAAGGTCACAGTCAAAGTCCGTGGTGAGAACTATACAAAGGTAAGCACGTATGCAAAATGGGTTAGTTTTGCATGGTAAAAATATGGTTATTTATACAGATGTGAAAACCACAACTGTCTGACTCAGATAATTTTGAATTACAATATACTGATCTATAAAAATAGAAAAAATAGAAAAAACTAGAAAGGCCAATATTTGCTTTGGAGCAAATACAGCGATGGGTTCACCACATTTTACCACATGGCAGGGAAAGAATGAGAAACACAAGGGAAAACAATGATTACATTGATATAACTATAATATGAAGTAACATACAACTAAAACAACAGTTGGATAGCTATTCCCTACTTTATTGGTTAGGATTTTTAATTGCATAATGCAAACTGTTGATTTTCAAAATAAAATAAAAAACGTTCATGCCCCGCATTCCAATGCTGGAGCAGAAAAGCTTGAAATACCTACCAAAACACTTGAATAAAGACATACTGTCAGTATGGAAATGCTCTGTGCAGGTGTTAATCAAGTTAAATCCCAACAGCCAATCAGCAAGAAATGCTCTGTGCAGGTGGAAATGCTCTGTGCGGGTATTAATCAAGTTAAATCCCAACAGCCAATCAGCAAGAAGTATAGAGGAAAGCTGCCTGCCTATTGGTTGATGCCCTGCATTCCATTGTGATGACTCATGCCCAGACGTGGTAAACAAGGCACACTAACACAGTAATACAGTTTGGCTATAACACGAGCCAAAAAACTCAAATAAAACCATTCTAAAAGCCTGTATCACAAAATTTAAAAACGCCTAGGGGTATTTGCCCACTGTACCTCCATACCAAATTTCAGGACCTTAGGCCCTAAAATGAAGAAGCTGAATCCATTTAAAGATATGGCAGGAGGAGAAGAAGGAGAAGGAGGAGGAGAAGAAACATCAGAAAAAGCAATATGGGTTCACCACCACTTCGTGGTGTGGTGAACCCATAATAAAAAAAGGCCACGTCCTCCGATCCCGAGGCTCTGGCCTGGCTCTAGGCCTGGGTAGTCCAATGTGGTTAGCGACAATATGGAGCCGGTCGTAACTCTGGAGGATATGGCACCCAGGCTATACCGAAGCTCCACAACTCAAGAACTCAGTACATACGTACAGTGCCGACTGATAAATTCCACAAAAAGCCAGCATGTGCCGGCTTGTCGTATACGTCACTGTGTACTGCTGCAAATTCACAGTAGCATTCGTATTTTGGGCCGGAATTTTTTTTATTCGCCCGCGCGCACTAGTTTGGGGGGTCTCCAGAGGATGTCATCCATTAAATCATGTCGGTGTGGCCTTATTGGGTTAGACTTCTTTTTCTGACACAGTGGAAGACAAATGATCAATCATATTTGCACATAAGCACATAATCGTGTTAACAGGTACGTACGAAATGTTATTTATTAAGTTGTAACCGCGTGTGACTAGGGGTGCTAAAGGTCACTAATAAAGTTACCTTTCATTCTTTCTTTACAATTTCGTCACAATGTCAGCTTCAACGACCGTGAGAGGTGCCGTAATGGTAGCAAAGGTAAGCCAACTTCTGTTACTTTTAGCTTCGCAGTTTACAAAATACCGTAGTATTTACAGATTTTATTTAAGTAAGAACAGCGTATAATGTTTCATGGAGACAGCATCTAACAAACAAACAACTCTATGGCTCTCTCCCGCCCATTTCATCTGTAGTCCGACGACGTAGACTTGCCCTGGCAGGGCATGTTGTTCGTAGTAACGAACCAGCTGGTAGATTAGTACAGTGGCTTCCTACTGGGAGACGTAGAGTGGGACGTCCTTATACTACACTTTTGTCCATGCTAGAGAGAGACACTGGTCTCTCAGGGCCTGCATTAGTGTCCGCTATGAGAGATAGGACATACTGGAGTAACTTTATCATGTGTACCTCACCGGATTAGTATAAACTGATCCGGAGGCATGATGATGATGATTACAGATTTTAATCTAAAATGTTATGATCAGATACTTGTACTGAGAGAGACTTATGCTATAGCCTCCGTAGCAGGCTTATAGAACTGGGGGTTTGGTGGTCTTCGGCTGTTTTCTGATCAGCCCAGTTCAAAAAGCGGGGGTAATTCAACCAGGCCGGCTATGTTGTCTATATGCAATCAGAAAATAGCACATAAAAGCTCCCAAAGACCCTGAAGACCCCCCAAAACCCCCAGTTTTCGGTATGCTATGGAGGCTACTTATGCTTAGTCTCCACCAGACTCCTTTGCAGGCTGAATAAATAGTAGAAATCGGCTAAGGGGAACATCGTTGGCCAGAGGAGTTGGCCGGCCATAGAGGGTCCAGCTTGCCTGCCGCAGGCCAATGATCCCCTTAGCCGATTTCTACTATTTATTCAGCCTGCAAAGGAGTCTGGTGGAGACTAACTTATGCTACCTATGCCCAAGGTTTCACGATACATTCCATAACGATACATACTAGGAGATGGGGTTGGGTGGTGTGGGGGTGGGGGATGCTAACAAACACACCTGTCCAAAATATGCAGGTGTGTAGTCGACACACCTATACGTACTGTATACGTTCAGGTACGTCCTTTTAGTCACGCTGAAACGTAACCTGATATGTTATGTCTAGCCGGTCGTGGCTTTCACGAAGAATAGACAACGCAGTTTACTGTTTGCTGTTCTTTATGTTAAAGGTAAGTAAACCTGCGTGTTGCACTCCTTGAATACTTAAATGCTAGGGAGAACAAAAGTCACCCAATGCTTGACAGAAATTCATGGCCGTATAGAAGCACCGTGCCGTTGCTGACATAACATGTGGTGAAAGAATTGTTTTTTGTGAAGAGCGAATCATGGCGGGACCAGTAAGTAGTAACGTTCCACGCTGTAACTGTTCCGTGAAATTCAGGCGTTGACTACACGTACTTCCTCCTACGTTAACATTGGAGTGGGGAAACAGCTACACAGACAACACAAAACTACAGGTAAAGTTATGCTTTTGTATAGAACGTTTTGCTGATAGATTTTCTCGTACGACGAAAAGCAATGTTTGTTATTATTGTCCACGGCTAGTGCTTCTGTTTTCTTGACTGTGAACGTGGAATGTGTCCAAAATATGGATATGGGGGAGGGCTGCATATGGTTATCAAAATGCGTTCTACAAAGAAATATTCGAGTATTGCTTCTTCACCTATGCAGTTTTTTTATAAGTCTCTATTTAGGAACATTTTCCTACGTTCATGGCTGTAGGAGATGTTTTCCTTTAAGTTTATGATCGTAAAATGCTGAGTGTATATCTTACTGCTACGTGACTACATAGCACGCTTTGTTGCTCTGCATCTGGTAGTGGAAACGACCAAGTCAACATTGAGAAGAATTACTAATCTCCAAGCAGATCCCTCTCGGTGGCAAAAAGACAGTATCAAATTGGCCAGGCAGTATCCATTAGCCAGAGAAGGTCCGCGGCCACCGACGGGTTGGTGGGGGTCAGGACCAAACAAACGGCCATATTAAAAAATGTAACGATCATTCCCCCACAACCTCTGCTTGGAGAGTAAAGAATTACTACTACGTGTTTGAACAGTATATTAGGGCACAACTTTAGGTCGTTACACAGTTTTCGGTCACCGAACAACGTGAAACCATTCGTTGTTGTAATTCAACACATTCAAACCGTTATGAACACTACTACACTATATGACGGGTTTACAAGTCGATCTCCAATTCATTGGGCTGTTGTTAAGTTGATAAAACAACAAACATATGAGTATTTGGGGAACAATAATCATAAATTCATTCATCAAGCGCCAAGACCATAGTTACATAATTAACGTTAGGTGTTTCCCAAGGTAAGCACTGAGCCTACTGTGACCTTTTCGGCTCAAGTTCTCGAAACAAGATGGCGTGCACAGGTAACATCTGTGTCCATAATATCACCAGGGTCCATAATATTGCCACCTTGAGAACAAGAATTCCGAGATTTCATACCTCCATGAAATATGGGCTTGATATGTAAAGGTAAATTTCCTCTTTAATTATGCAAATTACCTCCGCATTAACATGATATATGCATCGTGATGTATGTTAACTTTTGATTAACTTACAGATGTCCAAAGTATGACATTCCCATTATTCACCATTAAGAAATCATAGAATTTTTGCATAAATTATGCGAATTAGGTCATCATTTGCATAATTAGTATCTGTTGATGTTCTGCCTGCCATAGGTTACATACATTACATGTATGAAAGTAGTATAATGTAAAACACTGTAATCATAGAATTTCCTCATTAATTATGCAAATAAAGTCCTCATTTGCATAATTTGCATTTAATCATGTACATCTCTCTCTTAGCTACCTACACACCAAAAATTATGAAAATATGTTGTTCCTATCTGGACTTATTGGCTTTTAAACATTTCGCCAGAAAGTGCCCTGCAGTTCCAGAACAAGCTGCTAGGGGGACCAAACTCACACCACTTATTCCTGACAGGAAAAGCAATCTGTCACCAAAACGTCAAGACCATAGCATGTTCAGCACAAAAGATACAAAAACCGGAAGTTCTGCTGCAGTACCAAGGTCATCCACCAGGAGGCCCATATTTGACCTTGACGTTTGTCTTCCTAAGACTAACCAACATACCAAATATCATCATAATCCATAAAGGCGTTCTGAAGTTATGCTGACCACAAAGTTGCGGAAACACAGACACACAGACACACACACATACATACATACTGACAGACACGCCAAAAACAATACCTCCATTTTTCATGGAGGTAAAAAGTGTGCTTAAAGATATTTTTACTGCAACATACACTAGGTATGTACCGTTGAGGTGTGAAGGAGTGCATACCAAAAGTATGTTGCACTAAAAATATCGATCTTAAAGCACACTATTTCTCAAGGTGGCGATATTATGGACCCTGGTGATATTATGGACACGGATGTTACTGTACAGTATGTTTTGTTGCCGTGAGTGGCATCGGATCGGGTGTTGCTATATTGCCATATCACTCACCTACATCAGTACATGTACATAATTCGCCACGCACAGAAAACGCTCTCTGTACACCTATATGTTTGGACTTATTTCCGGGGCAAATTTTGGTCAGAAAGGCCCAGTTTTCTGGTAAGAAGGACAGAAGAATGTATATTTTTAAAATCTGGCCAAAAAGTGTGACCTTTGGCATGGTCTGATCTGTTATTGACCTCCAAATAGTTCTTCCCTCGGTGGACTGACCCACTTTGCCAGGGGGTGAAATCCTGGTATTTTCATATTGTGGCTGTAGCAGGAGTCGACCTTCCAATATTTGTACCAAAAGACACCTGACAAATCCAGTTTTGCAGTGGGGGTAAAGACTTGAGGTTTGAAATAAGTGCTTGTTTCTAGTGGTTTTAGCATAGAATCCCAATGTAATACCCATTTGCTGGTCCCTGCCCCTGTCGCTTCTCAGGGAGGAACGGTCAGATTGACAGAAATTGTTCAGTTATTTCCTACAATGGTCACACGTAGAAGGGTGGGCTTACATAGCTAACTTATGACTGGGCCGATGCTAAAAATAACACAACCAGCTTGGAACGGGTAGTCATTTTTCTACACAAGAAAACAGCTACCCAGGCAGTTGGATAGAAGTTAAAATTCTATCCTGTTGCTTGAGTAACTGTTTTCATGTGTAATACCTGGATGTATAACCTTCATCAACATAATATTTTAGTCTCTTTACACAGGTTACTATAACTTACTCTTTGTTTGTTTTCAGGCAGCCCTGGACCATTTGGAAGCCTGCTCGACAACTAGGCTAATGTCAACGGTCACAATGGTTTGCACACAACCACGTAAAAACAACATCTCTTTGTACTTTGGCTTCGTCTTAGCGCTCGGTGCTCTCACCTACTTTCTCGTGCAATATCTTTCCTCGCCCACGACACATCTCACAAGGAAGCTATCAGAATGGCACTCGGAATCGAGAGTGTTTGTAGAGATACGCAGCTCCACAGCCAGGCCCATGACCGACCGAGAAAAACTGTCCGAAATTGCCAACATCCTCGGGGTGCACGGAAACATAGAAGAAGAGGAGTACGGAAGGATGCTGATTGAAATCATATATCTAGCTGAAGATCAGAGAAAACGGGGCACACGAGCAAAAGATGCGGTGGAAAAAATTCACGACATGATTATACACCACGCCAAGACGTATAAAGAAATGGAACGGCTACTAGAAGATATGGACGTTTTGGACAACTTGCAACCTAAACTGGACCCAGGAAAAGAATTAAGTGTATACCCTTTCAAGAGAGACCCTACATTTACACCATCGGTAAGTAAGACTTTTAACATGAAGTCCTAGTATCAACCTTAATTTTAAATCGAAGGTAGGGACAAAATATTGGCTCAGCCATTTGAATCGATTCTCAGTAACATTTTACTAGATATCGTTTTGCATGAAAGTTCATCTGTGTTGGTAAAATCATTATGAAATACCGTCAACCGAAAAGTTGGGGTAAGTCCCAATTCTGTAATCTGAGTGTTGGAAGTTAAAGCTTAGTCTTTATTTCAGACATCGTTTTGTTTTCGCCCCCCTCCCCCTCCCCCTCTTTGCCCCATTTTCATTATTGTTACCATCACAAGTTGCATTCATTCCCAAATCACCTCGCAACCTAGCAACGTTTGGCAATTATTTCAGTACCACAAAACACCTCTATGTTTGCATGATCTTGTAGATAAATGTATACCCTTTGGCCTGTATTGTTTTCTTGTTTGAGGTTTGGTTGTTCATCAAACATGTGGCAAACAGCTTAACCGCGACGTCTTCTCATGACAGGACTTCCGTGCAAAATCGACTTTTATAACCTACATATTCGAACCCGTGACTTTGAGTCCTAGCAACAGCTTTTCTAGTACACAACAGCAAGCTACCCTTTACCTAGGCTTGAAGCTAAGTGACTGGAAAGAGTAGAAATTGACCAAATAGACACAGTCAAATAACATGCCGAGGTGCGGAGGTAGGTGGAGTGCGGCAAATGTACTCATTTACTTACTGATTAGTGGAGTGCGGCAAATGTACTCATTTACTTACTGATTTAGCGGACCAACTCCCCTGGCATGTTATCTGTCTATTTGGCCAATTTCTACTCTTTCTAGCTGCTTTGGAAGCCTGGTAGAGGCTAAATGCAAGCCACCAATCAACAGCACACAAAAAACATTAACCGTAATAGAAACAAACTACAATAAACTATATACTTAACATCTGTGTCCATAATATCACCAGGGTCCATAATATCGCCACCTTGAGAAACAGTGTGCTTAAAGATATTTTTACTGCAACATATATGCATACTTTTGGTATGCACTCCTTCACACATCAAATGTACGTACCTAGGGTATGTTGCAGTAAAAATATCTTTAAGCACACTATTTCTCAAGGTGGCGATATTACGGACCCTGGTGATATTATGGACACAGATGTTACACCCTACACATTTGCACATATTTGTGTTTTGTTAGAAATGTCCAAACGGTTTCCAGAGAAGATCGGAGGTATCCAGGTGGTTTCGGGACAGGTACATAGCTGACGTCAAAGTGCTACTGGACACCAGTGACGTAAAAGACGGACGATTTCTGGACCTCAACATTTTCAAGCTTCCCTTCGGCTACAAAACTGAGAGCAAAGAAAGTGAGTATGTGTATTGAAGACTTAATAAGAGAAGATTTCTGTCAAAGAAGGGACTTTCAAGAATGTTTGAATATGTGCATAAAATACTCTCTGTCGAACTTTGGTTTCAGAAGTCCTACGTTTGTTGGGCGCCACCTTGCGATGTCTAAAGAAATTACAACTGACATGGCTGCGGTTCCTCGCATGAATGCCATGTTTTGTCCTGAACAATCTGAGATCAGAACACACACCATTGTGTCAAATTGAAATCAGAATTTTGGTCAAATAACACAGTGAATGTAAAATATTAAAAGAAATCTGTGTTCTGATGAAGTGTATCATTATTATTTCATGCAGTGTTTACTAAAATCGTAAACTCTATTCCACTACATGTAGTCCCTATATTTTACAGCTGTGCAGAGCATTCTACGTCATACGGATAATGTCGAACTCTACCGCGGACGGAGAAAACCATGCGTTAGGTGTGCTGTGGTCGGCTGCGGAGGGATATTAAACGGTTCAAGAAAAGGGGACGAAATCGACAGCCACGATTACGTTTTTAGGTTTGTTTGTTTGTTTGTTTGTTTGTTTGTTTCGGATCTCTAAAAGTGTAAATTTCAAACTACATGTACTCTTCATATATAGAATACGGTATAATTGGCGTTCATCTAATAAGGTTTGCAATAGTCTGGAAAACACTGCTTCTATAGTCACTTCAAAAATATTATTTACGTTTTTTAAAAATGCTTGATACCCTTCCCTTTAATGTGCAAAGCAAATGCATAATGTTTATCTTCGCATATGGTCTGCTCTGTTAATTCTAACTCCAAACACATTGATATGTATGGTGACAACAGTCTAAATCCCTACTGCTATAAAATTGCAACATGATGTAACCCAACACTAGTTGCCATGGTAATAGACATTTTTTTCACAGACTGAACCATGCAGAAATCGGACCTCGCCACGCGCCCGACGTCGGCAACAGAACCAGTTTCTACATATTCTTCCCAGAGTCGATTGACAATAGGTTTCTGTTGAATCAAGTAAGGATATTAGTGTTTTCTTCTACACATTGTCAACCAGGAAGGGCTTTCATCTTCTTACGTATCAATGCCTAACAGGTATCTTCCTCAGAGCTGCTTGTTCTCGCACCAAATAAAAGCGCCAGCTACATCGGCTAGCGGCGGAAAACAGTACTCCAGTCAGAAGCTCTGATGAATATGTCTGACAGCTATATGGAAACGTAACCAACCAACCAACCTGGTTAGGTTATTTTCGGATCTACCACAGTAGTTTTATCTATCGATAGTCGATGGAAAAATTAAGCAGCGATACATTATGTTCGTTGTTTTTGCGGTATCACCTCACCTCCTCATGTGAAATAGATACAGATAGATACTTATGCATACCAAAATCGGCGACAGCCGTCATATCATTTGGGGGTATATTTGCTAGCCAAGAATTAGTGGAGAGTAAAACCCCTTTTTGCCAGGCAAAAAGATACTTATGCATACCAAAATCGGCGACAGCCGTCATATCATTTGGGGGTATATTTGCTTGTAAGTCGGTAGCTATTTGAATGCATTTGGCTGTCAACAAGGAGGTTGTAACCGAAGATTGACGTTAAGGCCAAGTTGGCAGTCTAAATGGTCACAATTCAATGATTTTGTCTGTTCCTTGTCTCCTCCACAGGATGTCACATATCTGTACGTGCCGTTTAAATCTTACGATCTGCAATACATTGATGAGAAACTGCGATATGATACCATCCCGGAAGTATGTGCCAATGGGAAATGCAGGTAAGTTCTACTCGAATAATTATCCTCTCTGAAAAGACACAACCGTTTTTTAAAAGACCTATTTCCTCGCTCGACTCAGGTGAAAATGAGTACCTAACTTCGGTTAGGGACGTCCTCTCGAAAGGTACGTAAGCTGAATGAAAAGGTGATATTCATCTGTTATGTCAATACTTCCACAAATGTGGTAAATCTCTATTAATAAATAAAGAGGCCAACGTATTAGCCCCTACCAGGCTTTGGAAGCATCTGAAAAGACTGTAGAAACTGGCCAAATAGACAGATACTAGGGTTGGAAACTTTGTATTATTCTTTGCGCGCAGTGGACCAACTATCTATTTGGCCAACTGTCTATCAGGACGCTTCCAAAGCCTGGTAGAGGGTACCACCTTAGCTTATCCACTTTCCAGTCCCTGACAATTATAATATCAAGAATCTTTACATTAAAAAAGTATACTTAATATATATATCTTTATATATTCTCTTGTAACCAAGTTCTAGATTCTCAATTCCTCTTGTATACATGTTTATCTGTATCAATTCTCTACATAGGAAATTGCGCAATCCCCAGAACGTGACGTCACACAACCTCCGCATCGTCCACCCAGACTTCGTCCGTTACGCCTTCGTCAACTACCTGAACGCCACGTCCAGCCGTCCCACAACGGGCGCGCTGACGGTCTTCATCGCCATGCACGTGTGCGACGACGTCACGCTGTACGGCTTCGGCTACGACAAGAGGTATGTAACGAGTCATATTTTTTCCTCAAATGCAGTGGAAGACGAAATTCATTTCATCTCTAATTGTCCATTTTATGACGACATCAGAAAACAATTATTTACCACCGTGTCCAAAATACTCCCATACTTCCCGACCATTCCCTACCACCAAAAAAAACAAAACAATTTTACTACTAAAATCAAAGAACCCACATATTATAGAAGTGGGTAAATTTGTCTTCCATTGCCTAAAAAGAAGAAATCAAACCCAGTAAAACTATAGCTTGTACCATGTATGTTGTAGAGTATAGTATAATGTTGCGGGCGTAGATATAGTCTCACATACCACTGTATTTTCTTTCTTGTGTTGTTTGTAACTGCAATTAGCCCTCGGGCATGTATTTGCAATAAACTTTCATATTATAATTTTCAGGGCTCGAAATTAATGGTGTCCCGATGGCCACTGACCACTTAAATCTAGGCCGGGACAACTGTAAAGAATCTTTGGGACAATTTTGGGACAACAGAATCGAATGTCAGCCCTTCTTTAGTTGATCATGCACGTCGTTTCTGGCTTTTGGAAAAGTTCCCCAAATTTCTGCAAAATTTCTCCCAAACCTCTGCAATAATATACTATTAGTAGTAGTGTGCCCGGAAGTCATGTATTAAGCAAAATAAAGTTTATTTCAAGTTTTTGTCATACATATTTTCCGAAAAACAGGTTGGGACAATTTATCCTCATTTCGGGACATTTTAATTAAAAATAATTAAATCAAAGACAATGAAAAATTTATTTTTAATTGTTCATCATCTCATCTCTAATTTCAGGTTTTCCCTACACTACTACGACAAGAAGTTCGTCAACCACACGCAATGGAAGACAGGCTCTCATGACGTGGACAATGAGAGAGTTCTGTGGAGCAAGTTACACCAAGAAAACGTCGTAACATGGTACCAAAGGAACACTGCATAATATAATGATAATCAAACTGTTACAAGATCTTACAAGAGGTTTTCCCGACACTACTACGACAAGAATTTCGTCAACCACACGCAATCTCGACGTGGATAATGAAAGAGTTTCGTGGAGCAAGTTACATCAAGAAAACGTCGTAACGTGGTACCAAAAATAGGAACACTGTACTACATAATGAAAATTAAACTGTTCTCCAACTTAAAAAGAAATTGAATGGAATTTTTAAAGCTGGAGAACAGTTTAATTTTAAATATGTAATGTACCAACTCGTATCAATTTTCAT